CCAGACCGATAACCCTATGACGTTATGCTTGATTCAATATGATTCAAATTAATTTAAATTATCTCTCTACGTAAGAAAATTCAAGTACTTTACTTATAATAGCACTACCATCAGCACTTAGCTGGAGAACAAACCGACGCTTTTGCCTAAAACTTTCTCAGGATATTATTCAAGTGATGAAATACATTCGATTTTCAAAATATTATGTCACGGAATATTCTGTATTTCTATTTTATAAGATGGTGTGCACACAATTCTGTGGAAAAATCAAAGACCCTAAAATTGAAACAATTAGCATTACAGTTAAAAAATACATTTGCCTAGGCTGAACACTCTATCAATCTGACTTGCATCGAAACTCAGTGTAGGTCATTCTAGGGCCGCAACACAAAATTTTTGGAATTTTTCGGCCTTGACTTTGCCGCAGAATAGTGTGAACTCGGCACTGTTTCACCAATTTCTTTAGGGCGCCTTCAATTAAGGTGATACTTCCAGCTTCACCGAAGAGTTAGTTTAGTTGCGTGACCTAACTTAACCCAACCTGACTATATTGCGATCGGTGCCAGCGCCTAGCGACCGACCAGAATCATAAAACTCGGGTGTATTCAATTACTGCAAAGACTCAATTTGTTCCAACAAACCGAAATTACTTTGTATGTATTATTTTCTGTAGGGGAGCTCATCTAATTGTTTTTCTCGGAGGTCTTCAAGAATTTATGTCACCTTTTAGGTTGGTTCGGTAAATACTATCTCGGCTCCGGTTCGAGATTTGCAGTTTTAGTGCTATATTTGTTGTTGTTTTTTTCGCTGTTACTATTATTATGTGTATGTTATAATTAGAAAATGAGGGATGTTTTAAAAAAATGACATTGAGCCCTTTTCCGGTTAGAACATAAATTACGACGGGACTCGCTGTGCGTTTAGCGCGGCAGCCGCGGCGCGCGAATAAACGGAAGCGAGGTAAAACAGGGAAGGTGAAAAAGAGATAAAAAGGGAAACAAAGTGTATTTATCGAATTGTGAAAACAGCGGGACCTCATGAATGCCGATTTACACTTTTCCACCTCGCAATTAGATGATGAATGGACCTGGCTCCGACGATCCCCCGCCTGTGGTCCGGAGCAGGGGGTGAGGGGGGGGGAGGTGGGCGCAGAGTAAATTATCAAGAGTACTTTTATCATTTACCATGCGGGTGCCGTGTTCGGGGTGGGGAGGGGCGCGAAGGGGTTGCGAATTAATTGCTGTGCCAGCGTCTTCCATGATAGCCGAGCTTGCGCTAACAAAAACATGAACACCCGGCCCGGCACCTTTCAACCCCTATGTTGCCGCGGTGCCTCAAGACTCTACAGTCTCCGTATACCAGGTGGGCTGGCATGAAACGTAAGAAAAAAATGAAAGATTGAACATTCCAGTGAAATATTTCATGAAATTTCACGAGGCTCATATTTTTCACGAAGCTGTGAAATATTACATATTTTCATTTTCAGGGGCTAGAGTATGCAAACCGCACTCAAAATACACAAAATTAGAAAGAAAGTCACAATTTTTACATTCTGCAAAATTTGAAAAGGGACCGGTATTTATAAATATCTTTCAGAGATTTCTCAAATTTCATGAAAAATTTCACGTGAAATTTCAAGATTTTATTTTTCACTAAATTTTACCACCCTGTCCGTATATAGTCAGTGTGCTCCCTTCTTAACTAGCCCCTTCTTATGGAAGCCGTATAGTACAGTTTCCATTGTGATTAAGAGAGGCCTAAGGAAAACCTCAATATATATGGACGTACTTCTATCAAACGGTAATGTGTGCAGTATAACGTGAGCCCTGTTATGCATATATTCTGATGGGTCTCGGGGCTCATGTCTAATGCACATAGTTCCGATTGGCAGAAATACCTGCATATCACCATTAAGAAAGGCAGTTTTGACGAATCTCGAGTAAAATTCAGAAGAATGACTTTGGACATAGACCCCTGCAAGAGCTTACACTGATTTGCCACTGGACAGAATGAAAAAGGCTAAAGAAAATTTGGTCCGTTTCGTAAATTTTTTAGTGGCCGGCGACCAGATTTGCCCAAAGAGAGACACGTACATAAATCTAACCGAAATAAAGGAACGGTCTCGGGACCTGTTACAAACTTTCCTAACGTGCGATTTCAATTCATTTAAAGCTTTTATTTTCTCAATTCTAAGAAATGAGGGGGAACGAACGCTTTTAGACGATTGCATGACCTCTACGCAAGAAAAAGTTTCCAAGATTGTAACTAAATAGGGGAAAGGATTATATTCAGAGAGAGCACCAGGCAACTCTACTTTCAGAAGTAGCCGTGGCTTGCTTTGCGATATATCGATTGATCTGCCTATTAAACCCATGGGAAAGGATCAAAATAAACAGGGTGTTCGCGACGAAAACTTTAATAATCGTTTTCTTTCACGCCCTCAAATGGGACAATATCGATTATCGATCATTCACGCCTCGCCACTGAGTTTTAGGTATCGACATTCCTGAGTCCAGGGTACCTATTTCCAGATAATCTTACATAAAGCACCGTGCACTAATAAAAATATTCGTGTTCTTGTGTTACTTTTGGTTAATATAAGAAGTGAAACACAAACCAACACAAAGTTTGTGTTGATTTTGGTACAGTTCGTGGTGAATTTAGCGTAACAAACAATGAAGAAACTGAGAGAATGCAAACCGCCGATTGTGACGTTTGTATTCACCTCTCGTTTTTCTTGTAATTTCTTCAAGAAAATAGCTGAAATTTTTTTTTGGATATGTCATAAGAAGATTAGGGTTATTTTGTGTTTTACTTCTCGTATTAGCCAAACATTTGTGTTAAAATCTTCCTTGTGTACAAGAAGTAAAATAGAGTGACAGGACTTTTGTATCATCTCATGATAAACCAACACGATCCGACGTTGGTTAAGGCGCCTTCATACAACTATTCGTGCTCTATGGATGACCATGTTGCATCTGCAAAAATGAAGGCGCTTTGGCGTTCCTTTCGCTCGCCTATAGCCTCACGATTAACTCAACAAATGACGTTACCCTTGGATATTTGGCCTCTCGAGTTACTCATTATGATTATTCGGATTTCAACCATGAAATATGTTACTGTGAACAGGAAAATGGACCTTGGTCCACGGAATTAATTTTTATCAGTGGGTTCTTGTAGAGATGAATTAAAAAATGAGATCTTTCCACGTCCTTAAAAAAATTCCTTTTAAAGTCTCAAAGATTAAGATCCAACCGATGTGGTTCATGTAAAGCATGTATCAACAAACCTATTCAGTGATACAATGTTAAAGTGAAGTCTCGCAATGAGAGAAGCATCTCTTATAATTTTATTTTAAGCTCGAGTTCTAGTTCTGACGATCCAGCAACACAAAGATCACCTCTACGGGTACTCACTGAAAAATTCGACAATTCTGAATATAAATTTGGCAACAGCGCTAGATGCGGTTTTTTTTGCATTTTCACCGTCGAAATGGAATAACTCCTTTTCATGATGACTTAATTATGTTCATAATTTCCACACAAGAGATCCAAAATTACAATTTTGGAATCCTCTTTCCGAAAAGGAGATTTTGAGCTATACTATCGTGTTAAAAGAGAACGCCGTATGAACATTCAAGATTTGCCAAATTTTACCGGATAAAACATGTAGTTTCAAGATAAGTCAGGAATATTTTCCTTCGGTCTTTTCAGATAATTTAGATTAAACTGCGAACAACATTGTCCGAAAAATTGAAAGAATAATTATGGCAACTCTCCCAGTAAATTCAAATTTTATCGAAGGGAATTTGCAACGCCTGAGGGTTCATACGGCGTTTTTCCGTAAGCCTTCTCGCATCAACCTCCGCAATTTCTATCGAAAGGAGAAACCGAGCAATAAGTCAAAGGAAATGCACCCCTGACTTCGGTCTCGCAAATATTTCCTCATTACCGCATTATTGGGGAGTTCAGTCACCTGAAAGCGAGTCGGGGGGGTCTTATTACCCCCCTTTTATTCCCGAGCAGTTTCTATTAGCCCCATCCCCGCCATTTACGAGAGCAACGAATTAAACGAAACCCAACTCCCGGACCCCCCCCCCCCCCTCCTTTTTCGCTCATGTTAATTAAATCGCGTGAAATAGTTACGAGCTCCTTTAAATCGTTGCCCTGTGGCCTTAGAACGAAACTGATTCACAGATTGAGCCCCACTGACCATGCAACTCAACGCTTTGTAGGGCTATCACGAAAATTGAGATACGCCGTTTCGTCGGAGCGGTGACTAAATGAGATTCTGCAAGGTGAACCGCGCGATCGTGTTCTAGAGTGTTTTCAACTTTACGGCGGTTGGTGTGACTAGAAATTACAGGAACTTGCGTTAATGAAACGCTGTTGTGTTCGACACGTTCTTATTGGTTTTTACCGAGGCGTGCTAACGGTTTTGACACCGGAGGAATACTCATCAATCCTTGTGTATCTCAAACGGTTCAACTCAAAGGAACGACAAGTTCGCTGGCTTTTCTTTTATCGCAAAATATTTTGGTGAGTTTTTGAGATTAGGTAACACCTCCAGAGGTGGGTTCGGATTATTGACAGCATTTCATTTAGCGCTGCGGGGGGAAAAGAGGTATTGAGTAAAGTGCGGTTGCGCGTACCGATTTTGAGTGATTTTACCATTTTCGTCGTTACTTTCTGCCGTCCACAGCCAAAATGCCGTAACTCCATTACAAATTTTGTATTTTTCCTCCACACACACTGCGGTTCCGATGTATTTTTACATTATCGAGAATGTAAGACTAGATCTATTTGGTATAATTTTTTGGATTGTGAGCGGTAACCCAACTCACTCAGCGTTATGAAGCCTCTGAGTGGAAGACATTGCAAACTTCGAAAAGGAAATTTGTATTCCACTGCTCCCGAAATATGGAAGATGTATTTCAGTTGAAAATTGTAAGTGCATTATTCAGCGTGAACTCTAACTTTGATTTTCATTTTTTGTTCCAGGGTCCGACCGCTCTAACAGCAAATTCAAGCTTCTCTTTACGCCAAGATAACAAAGGTAATTTTGACATATAAATTTAAAACTCTTTGTCATAATGTCAATTCCGTTTTATATTGACGAAAATGATTCATAGTGTAACCTGTTTGCAACTTAACCTGCCAATAAACTGATCACTCGATTTTCAAGAATCCTCTTTGGTGCTATGGTACACTTGTAGATTTAGTAAAGCCTTTGATGAACCCATTTCTGATTGGTCCTACCATTCTTTTCCAGTAAGTTGATCAGATCAACTTCTCCTAAAGAAATGCAAAAAACTGGCCGCAGAACTGAAGAGATACGTGTAATTATTTGGTTCTAATAAAATAAGTGATATATGGTTCTAGTTACGTTTATGATGATACAAGAAAATGGATTCTGATTTGCATTTGTTATGAATTTCTTAAAAACCAAAAACGAACGGTAGATGTTGCACGTAGATGATTCAAAACGAATGCAAATCAGAATGCATTTCCTTGTATCACCATGAGCATAACTAAAACCATAATTAGATGTATCAGTTCTGCAACCATTTTTTTGCATTTCTTTCGAAAAAAATAAATCTTCTCAACTTCGGCCTATACTATGGGTCTAGGCACTAAAGTTGGTCGCAAGCGCAGCATGTGATATCCCTCGAAGTTTGGTGGCAACCCTCTTTTCCCTACCTTGAGTTGCCGCCATATTTTCGGTCACTAAGGGTGCCGGTTCCCATAAAATTCAATGTCCATATAGCAGGCAAATAGTAAAATCAGGCATTTTTTCAAATGCCTACGCTAATAGTCAAATATTCTATTTTAGATTGAAAGTCTGATTCTTTTCTTAATTTCAGACTAAATAATTCAATGCTCCTGCAAGAAAAAATTCTTAGTTAAAATTTGCTGCACACAATAGTATTTTAAACGATTTTTAGCTCCTGAACAGACACTGATCTTGAAATTTTCCGCATGACATAAAATACAGAATTTTTGGAATTTCAGCATTTATATAAATATGAGAAGCAATTGAAGAGGAAGAGAAAAAAAGAGTTCGTAGGTTTGATGAATTATTTTTCCAAAAATAATGGAAAATCGTGAGTTCTTCGCCATAAATTCACAAAATTTTGTAGACCGTCAAAATTTGACTATCTGCCTAGGAATTTGACAAAATGCCTGATTTCACTATTTGCCTGTGACATCCATATTCTTTCTAAGAAGAAACTATACTCCCAATGAAGATATCGGCCGAAAAAAATGGCATCCCAGCAAATGAGTTTCGGACACCCCCACTCCCTCCCTTACGTCGTTCGGAATTCCATTAATCATAGCACTTGGAGAAGGGGGTAGAGGGGTGAGTGCTGAAAATACCGCTAAAAAGCAGGTGCTAAGCTGATTGTTCCTGCGAGATTAAACAGCACCGAGCGTTGATCGATTGTAAAAACCAACGGCTTGGAGAAACAAAAGAGTTTTAATACTTCCCCGATATTCATTTTTCCGCCCCCTCCCCCCCCAACCTGTTACAATAACAATGCGTCGAAGCGGGGAAATTACAGCGGGCCCGTTTTTACGTCCGGTGTTTTGCTCGGTTCCGGTAGTGTTTATTTTTAAGCGCAAAGGTTTTTTAAAACCGACGTTGCCATTTTTGCAAGGTATACTCGGTATTTTTATAAAACAAATATTTTCACGAAACAATTTCTGTATGCTTTATGCGCCGATTCTATGATGAGACTTGCTCGATTGGGTGTGAATCGCTCAGGCAAAGAGGAAGCAACTATTCGAATACCAAAGCAGCCAAATTGCCTATACGCTTGGTTGAAGGCGATTCATACGGCGTAGCGTAAGAATGTCGTAATACGTACCGTTTTTACGTTCGGTATTTTGCTCGGTTCTCGTAGTGTTTATTTTCAAGCGCAAAGGTTTCTTTGAAACAAACGTTGCCATTTTTGCAAGGTATACTCGGTATTTTTATAAAACAAATATTTTCACGAAACAATTTCTGTATGCTTTATGCGCCGATTCTATGATGAGACTTGCTCGATTGGGTGTGAATCACTCAGGCGAAGAGGAAGCAACTATTGGAACATCAAAGCAGCCAAATTGCATATACGCGTGGTTGAAGGCGATTCATACGGCGTAGCACCAGAGTGTCATAATAGCGAGAGTTTTTCATTTTAATCATTTAAATATTTAAAAACTGCATTTGATTTATCTGTTGATTTAGTCGCTTTCTTTTCTGAAGCCTCCTGGGGCCAATACAAACAATAGAGTTGTATTTGCAGTTTTAAAGATAAGTTGAATTTCCAACTTGTGAAATGAGCTCTTAGCCAAGTTTGGTGTATATTCTTGCCCATAAGATTATTTTTTCTATTGGGGTCATTCCGTTGTTTCCCATACGATGAAACGCAGCTATATTACAAAGCTAAAAATAAAATTACGACATCCGTATAAAATCTACCCTCCATTTGGTCTGTCTTTAAAATACTTATTATAAATGCATTCAAAGAATTGATATCCAAACTTTTCGTGAATTGCAGTCCAAAGGAAATGCACTATTTCAAGCATAATTTTGAAAAGGAAACATGTGACTTTTGTCCTAGTTCTGCGAGCTGATTGAAGGACAAATTAATAGATAAAGAAGACTAAATGAAAATGGATCTACCCTATTGGTTGAAATGGGTAGTTGTCTTAGACCAATGAGGAGAACGATGGACTAACTACAGGGTCTCTCGCGGGTTGCCGATGGTTAATCTACTACTTATGTCCTTTGTCCATCGCAACTACTCGCTTCCACCGATGAGATCGTTCCATTTGCGCGTTGTCTCCTTCGTCTATCCCTTTGTGTACCACACAACCTTGTCCACCCACAGACCTTGTCTGTTGGCCCCTAGACGTTGCGTGTTTTTCAGAGACTAATCGGTAAAAAAGGTAAGGAGCAATACACTGAAAAAAAAGTTCGGTAAATCCGAACTAGTTAGGACCACTGGATCATATGGAACCACGATTTTGTTCGGTACACACGACCGAATTATTCGGTCTGCTGAACCGAACTGTTCGGTCCACTGAACCAAACTGTAAGAATTTGTTATGGTTCGGTCGCACAAACCGAACAATTCGGTTAAACAGACCGAATAATTCGGTTGTGTGTACCGAACAAAACCTAGTTCCATATTATCGTAACTACTTCGGATTTACCGAACTTTTTTTTCAGTGTACAAAAGAACAAGGAAAAATAAGAGATTATTCGTAAGTGCGCAGCGTTACGTTACATTACGTTAATTAATTGACGGCACGTAAGAGTAGTTTGATGCCACGCAGAAAAAATGAAATTGCTGATTTAACAATTTTGTAGTTAAAAAAAGTGTCCGACTTGTTTCAAATTGGTTAAATTAGCTTTCCACAATTGTAAAAAGTGCATTTGAAACATGTCGGACATATTTTTTAATAACTTAAGTGTTGAATCAGCAATCCATTTTTTTCGGTGCAGTTTGCAAAAATTGTCCTTAAGTAACGGCAACGGCGTTTGCAGACTTGCGTTTATCCATGACGCTTGATGCAATTCAAACTCATCGTGTTTTAATTACCAGTTAGCTGAGCAAACTGTGGCGGACATCCGGAGCGGACACTGAATAATTCCGGGTCGCAGCCGGCTGTTGAAGCGCGTATAAAAATACTCGATACGCGATAATATCTAACCTCTCCGTGGTTACTTCTCTGAGCGTACGTGTGCCTAACAATACCGCAAGTGGGGAAAGGTTTGCTATCATGGATAGAATAATTGATGCCCGCTTGGCATTGTTCGCGCGGAGTTAGGAACTTAAACGATCACATACTTGGATCTAGGCAAAAAGCAATGGGCCTCTAAGTACAAATTAAAGTACAACTCTATGGGTTTCCTCTTCAAAATTCTAGGGTAATTTCAGGGTATTTTTTCAAATTTCCAGGCAAGACTCTTGCTTTTTCGTTCGAATTACTGAGACTGAGAACATACGATACATCTCATTTGCATATAGAGCTGTCCTGCCGTGATGAGGAAGAACGCCGTATAAACATCCGAGTTTAAGATTCTAAAAAATTTAAAAAACTTTTAAGACAATTTTGAACCACTCACTTGCATAAAATCTTCTTTTCACGGAAGCGGACGCGTTTCGGAGGTTACCTGCCCTCCATCATCGGCGCGACTGGTCAATTCCAATCAGCTGATTTCGGTCCCGGATTATTTCCCGTCCCTCCATCGTTGTCACATCTCGAGTGTATTGTTGTAAACAGTCTGTTATTTACTCCCGTTAGATCCGTATTAAAAATGTTGTTCTTATTTTGGTACATGTAAATACTTTCCCATATGTCTAGCTTATTTTTCTCAGTGACTTTTCTTAGCAGTTTCGGTTCAAACGATATTTCGTGTCCTTCTTCCCAGTAGTGTAGAGCTACTGCTGATTTCTCTGTTTGTCTATTTCTAACACATCTTTTATGTTCTTGGGCTCTTACTTTCAGTGAACGGCTGGTCTGTCCTATGTAGAATTTATTGCATTCTGTACAGTTAATTTGGTAAATACCTTTCTCCTCGTTGTCAGGTCTTCTGTTTTCAATCTTCCTGCTAAATTGTTGGGCAACATTGAACCTATTGGTGAAGCTTAGTTTTGTTGATACGGTTGTAATTACGGTTTGTTTAAACATCCGAGGTTTGCCAAATTTACTACCATAAAGTGTCTATTTTTCCGGAAAGTTATGCATATTTTTCCTCGTCTCGTGGTGTTCCCATTAAATTGTGAAAAAAATTGCCTCCAAAATTTGAGGAATATCATTCAAATTTTTCCCCGTAAATTATTTTTTATTGATGGCAATATGGCAACGCCTGAAGGCTCATATGGCGTTTTCCCTTAGCACGGCAGTGTTGAACTGAACTCCTCATTTCTTAGCGTATCAAAATCTATGAAAATTGAGGAGCTTCCCGGGAAAAGGGTACATAGCAAAAAATTGCGTTTGAGAGAAATGCATTCGAAGTTTTGATCATTACTCTATGGCCACTGACAGTGACTTTCTTTCGAA